TCGATATTTTGAGTAAAAGTCACCGAGCGCATGTGTGTTCAGGATCAATATTTTGATATAATATGTAGAATGATAATATCAAAAAAATATGTTAATATTGTTCCTGAACAAACTTGCGCTCTATAAATTTTAAAGCTAAAATTGTTGAAATATTGTCCATTTTGTCCTCTTTCTGAAAAAGGATATAAAATCGGACTAGTTTGTGACGTCATAAAAACAAAAATTGTGAATACACTGCTTTCACACTATAATATTTTCTGTTAATTTATATTTTTCATACAATTTATTGAAGTCAGCACATTTAAGGATGTTTTAAAAATTTGACTCTTGTGGGGGCAAATATATGCGATATACCGCATATAGTTCTTTGGTCTCTAAACTGGTGTGGGAATTTTATGAATAACATGCATTCTGTAGAAAATTACATCAGGCGATGGCCAGATATGAAAAAGAAGACGTAGACACTATGTCAAAATGGATTAAATGTATGAGATCCAGGTTACAATCGCGTATTTAAAGTTGTGCATTTAAGTATACGTATTGACTGGTATATTTATCCATGCAATGTATATTTATCAATGGACATTCAATATAAAAAAAAACAATTCTAAAAAACAATACGTAAATGTACATGTTTCATGCCACCTGGAGAATTAAAATATATAATGTAAAAATATTAAATAAATTGCTTTAATGAACTAAAAATAAAATAATTAAATATGTAAAGGAAGGACAGAGTTTTTAAAAGATTTTATAAATAATCGATAAAATAAATAAATCAATTTGTTATTTACGCATTATCATGACAGTCGTTAATGATTAATAACAATACTGTCGAGTGATAGAAGTAAGTCTTTCGTCAAATATGACGTCACCAGTCTTGACATGAGGAAGCGTGATCCAGAGGACGTGATTCACTGGATTAACAATTAATTTGCTTAAACGAATATGAAGACATCGCAAATTTTTAACCGAATCATTAAAAGTAAAAGCAAAATAATGTATTGATTACAATGTATAAAGAATATGAATTGATCTAGAAGCATTGGCGCTGGATGGAGAAAAGGAACGTAAAGAATGAGGCTACAACGATAAACGCATTCGTGATTTCATCAAAAGTGCAAGGGACATAGACTTTTTGTTTAAGTTGAAATATGGAATATTTATTGTTCATATAATTGTAGTTTATATTTTGAAAAGTGCTGGGAGCTGATCCTGGTCTGCCTAAAATTATTTTTATTTATTACAGAATTTAGCGAAGTTGAAATTTATAGAGCTCTTTAGTACGCATTTCGGCAAAATTTTCAGAACTCCCCAAACACAACCTACTAGCTCCCAGCACTTTAAGAGTAAAGTGTATAATTTTTTTTAAAAATATGCGTATGCCCTTATACTCATTTCCTACATTCAGCTTTATAATTCTATTTTAATACTAGTTTAGTGACAAATATCTGATACAAGCGATACATGTACATATAATTCGCAGTACAGTTAAGGTGCGCAATTGAAATATCGACAATATTGCGTAATCAAAAATGAACTGAATTTCATTATCGGGATGACGATTATTCTTACACTGTAGCGTTTTATTTATATCGGATAATTATTATGCTCCCCAAACGGAGTTTGGGAACATATTGTTTTTACTCTGTTTCTTATTATTATTATTTTTTTTCTTATTTGTTCTCCGGTACTTTTTGTTCCGCGAGTGTTCTCAGAAACTGTTCACCCAACTGAGCTAAAACCTTTTAAGGGTTAATAGGTGTGTAGTGTAGGTGTGCGGAACGAAGGTCATTTTTCGCGCATACGCCTGCACGTGCGTGCGCGTGAAATGAGTGAATTGACTGATATACTTAATATAGCTATAACTTTTACATTTTTTGATGAAATGCTTTGAAACTCATTACATAAGGATATATTAATAGTGTTAATAATATGACACTGTCAAATTAGCACAAACTCACGTGCATGCACGTGCGCGTTGCTCTGATTGGCTGAAACAAAAATCTCAATATCTCTTTTGTTTTCCGACGAAATGCTTTGAAATTTTTAACATTGTCATGTATTAGGATATCCTACAATATGATATGGAAAAAAATTCATGAAATCACGCGCATGCACGTGCGCTGCAATCTGATTGGCTGAAACTTTAAATGGCTATATCTCCTTTGTTTTTTTGACGAAATGCTTTGAAATTTAAAACATAGTCATGCATTAGGACATCCTGCAATATGATATATAAAAATTTTCAAGAAATCACGCGCATGCACGTGTGCTGCAATCTGATTGGCTGAAACTTTAAATGGCTATATCTCCTTTGATTTTTGATGAAATGCTTTGAAATTTAAAACATAGTCATGCATTAGGATATTCTACAATATGATTTAGAAAAAAATTCTTGAAATCACGTGGATGCACGTGTGCTGCAATCTGATTGGCTGAAACTTGAAATGGCTATAATTCCCTTGGCTTTCAACCAAACAGGATGGGATTTAGAACATAGATAGATATATGGGCCTCTAACAAGAAGGTATAGTCATCTTGCACGTGCACGCACGTGCGTGCATTTGGAACGAGTGAAATTAAAAGTACACTTGAATGAGTGATCTTTAATACTTTTGGACTAAATGCTTTAATATAAAGTATATTTAAATATATAGAAAGTGTAGACAAATTATATGATCATTATGCACGTGCATTCACATGGGTACGCGTGCAATGTTAAAATTTGAATATAATTGGTATCCTTTTGGGAAAACGTTGTTAAAGTCAAAAATGCACAGATGTTGTCTTATATAATAAGGCTTATAGGGAATATGGCACCAAAAGGGAGTTTGGGAGCGTTTGGGGAACATCTGTAACGGTTCCCGTTACAATTAGCCCTAGTTATAATTATGATTAATAACTACATATCGTGACGATTAGATTTTATGTTTAGATTCGTCACGTGATGCGACAGTCACGTGATTTTAGCACATTTACGTGCAGTATTGATGCTACCTATAAATTTCACTAGTGCAAGGGCATACATGTAGCTAAGTTAAAATTCCAAGTTTAGCTTATAGATATTTTCAACACGCATTGTCGTTTCTGAAAAGTGCTGCGATCCTATTTAAATTCTGCAATTTCATTGTAAAAATTAAATTTGTATGACCTAATTAATGTGGTATTTTTTTGCTGGTCAACGGCATGACATATTAATATAATTAAATTAATTTTAAAATTTCAACAGGATCGCAGCACTTATCAGATATCTAAATAGTTCTAGAGTTGAATTGTAAAAGCTTACTATGATACAAAGAGTGTATGTCCTTGCACTAGATCGATTTATTAAGAACCCCGCATCACCCTCTTATGTGCAAAGAAATATACGGCAGTGTCAATAGGGTCTGTAAGTCTCGTCACTTGACTCGCGAGATTCTACGATAATTTTCACTTCTGGGTACCTCACACATGGAGCTGTGTATTGAGTTAAGCATGTTTCTGGTTTATACAAAGCTTCTTTCGATGAAAAGTTAAATAGTTTTACAAGGCAAAAGGGTTCTCCGACTTACGATGGATGAATTGCGTGTCATAAAAGCTTTGGTGCGAGTGTCCACGAGGAATTTTTCGATCAAAGTACAGGTAAACAAGCCAGAGAATATCATCTGTTTCGTGTTTAATTTGAGCGAAAAAGCAGTGTTTTATTTCATACCCGAATGGAATACTTTCCCAATCATCTTTTAAATTAAATTGTTGACAAATTTTTCCTGAATCCGAGGACGATAACGTTATTATTGGCTGATTATAGAGGAGGAGTTTTGTCAGTGTCTGAGGGGTACAAACATCATACTGTGGCTGCATCACTTTTGTTTCGGTAAATATTTTTTTTAGTGATGTCAAAATTGTCAATAATTGATATTCGAATATTCGATAGTAGTATTCGAATATATTCGAATATTCGATAAAATAAACACATCTTTCATTATAATATGTATACATTTTCACTCTTTTGTCAAGCAATATACGTTTTATGTCATTATTTTGGAATAAAATTGCATGTAGAGTTTTGTAAATGCACTATAATTAAATGTATATTCTTTAAATATTTTACAGAATATATGAAGAGTTTACATCCAAAATATAATAAAAAAAATTTCCCCGAAAATTTAAAAGATTCTTTTAATAATAAGTTCCAGATTAATTAATCATCTTACCAAAGTGTACACTGATACCCCTACAGATTTATACCACACAGAACAATTATCTAATGGAGAAACATTAAAAGCAATTACGAGGCTAATTAATTTCCTGATAATGATCTTAAATGATGTATACATAAACAAGGGATCCATGTGTGTTTCTTAAAAAATGTGTCCTTTTAATAATACAAATTAAATCGAAGTACTGGATACTATTATACCTCTAATTAAATGATCAAATGGATAATTTTTATCATTTTAATAGATACACTCTTCACACCTTTAAGGTAATCCAAGAGGTGTGTCTTTTAATTTTGTGTTAAATAAAATCTCATTTTTGGTCAACAATAAGAATTTGATTCAATTTCTGATAAAACTTCAGTTTTTGCCAGATTTTTTTCTTTTTGATGCTTGTATACTTAAAATCCGAATATTCGAATCATAAATCTATATTCGAATATCAACTCATCGAATGAATATTCGAATATTCGAATATTCATTGACATCCCTAATTTTTTTAATATCAAGTTTTACCTGTTGTGTGTCAGTGGATCAATTTTTTTTTAGCTTTTAATGTTTGCAGCAATTTAGATCTATTTCCCAAAGATAAGACGTTTATATACTTTGCTATCTCACTGCATTCAACATTTAACAAAATTCAAATCACTTCAATAACATGACCATATTTCTAACTTTAGACCATCAGAAGTACAAGAGAACCAGGCAGTAACACAGATAAAAGATGCGGTTGCTGAAAGATCCAAAGTCATGATCAGCAGCACATGAGACTAAATTAAACCGACTTTGAATGACCAGACTCCTTACAAATGCAAATCAAATACAGGTATGAAATTGATGCAACAGAATAAATTCTCATAAGACATTGCAGATCAAAAAAATTACAAGAAGGTCGTAGATGACCAGTAATGCTTTACCCTCACCCACCCCAGGTCTTAGACATTTACCCATGATTCATCTATATACTGTCCTCTCACTTCACTATTAATTGATTGATTGTTGTTTAACTTCCCTCTCAAGAATTTTTCACTTACATGGAGAGACCCCAATTTCCCGGTGGAGAGGTGCAAATTTTGTCTTATACTCGGCACTCAGGGCCATTAAAGGGATCTTTCTCATGCCAGCACCTACTGTGACACAGAAACTCGGTTTATATCAATATATGGTCTCATGTGAAGGACCAGTCTCTACGTCCCACAGTGGGATTCAAAATTTGCAACGTAATGATCACCTCACTATTAAAATGGTCCTTGTCTAAAGATTACGTGTATAATAATATTATATATGTATATACATATATCTTTGTTTTTACAAAATGACTTATTTACTTGTCAACATTGGCCATCATTAAATGTGTTTGTATCCAGGTTAGTAGGTAGTTTTTTTTTAGCCTTGCAGTATTGAAAAACATTGATAACTGTCATATTAAGAATCACAGACTCGGAAATCTGTTGATATTTTCATTACTAGCTAGATAGACTATTTATGTATAGATCGAAAAACATGTTTTAAAAAATATACCTTATCTTTAAAACGTCTATGAAAATAAGGGGAAAAAATTGAAGTGGTGAAAAAATCATTGCTACTGGTATGACCGATTTTAACGGATCGGTCTGAGTACATAAAACATATCATTTTGTTATTGTTTGATTTAGTATGGGCACCCTAGATATGAAAAAAACTCAAATATTTTTAAATCAAAAATTTTAAATGGCATAAAAGGAACAATTTTTATTCTGATTTTCTTGTAAAATTATTGATAAGATTTTTCATTAAATTTTCTCAATAAAGATTTGTATCAAATACACGATAAATTGATATTTACCAGATTTATAACTCATTACACCTAAATTATAAGTAATTTATACAACTGTGCAATAATTCAAATGACATGTTACTGAATTTAAGTTTGCTAAATTACAGGTTTTTGTCAGCTTATCTGGAAATCTTGGGACATCACTGATTTGATCAAGAATTTATCCAGGATGAAGTCCAGCCATGTGCCTCACCTGTCATGACATTATTAAAGGTAAGTAACCTTATCAGGAAAGAATCTGACAAAGCAAAACCTTCAAAAGATTTACATTTAAGATACTTATTTAATTGGTAGTTTTAATACCATATAGGCAGAATTTTTAGCGAGGCATTATCAGCTAGGGTTTTGAGATTGCTAAAATTGAATATCATTGAAAATTAAATGTATTTCAGTTGAAATAATTGTGTTAATTAAAATTATATGCAAATTTTATAAAGTTAAGAGGTTTTAAAAATCGATACAATTACTTCTTGCTAAATAGAAAATACACAATTTTAAGGACATCGCTCAATTTACGTCTTGATAAAATTTCCAATTGTATAGAATTTTAATTTCTGTAAAACGTTTTGTTACATATTATAAAAAAATGAATATACATTTAAATCAAAATCATTTTATTTCAGCACTTTGTGACAGTGGGAAGATGGAATTTAAAACATGACATGGCTCTATATTACTACATCAGAGACCAATCTGTAATATAATATCAACGGACACCGGTTTGGTGTATGAAACAGAATACTTTATTAAACACTGACAGTACAGTGGAGCATTCAGACATCTGACATGGCGGGTAAATTTTACAGAGATAGCAAGGGCAGACAACCCCAACTTCCATTATAGATAAGTCGTACATAAACATACTAAAGTACATTACATCCCCTCACTAAAATTAAAGACAGATTTTTTTTTTCATTTAACATACAGATACTGTTTTAAATGTGTAAGGCGTTCAATAGTTCATGGCAAAAGTTTTGATTTTGTTTCAAACACTCAATATAAACAAATCAAATAAGAACACTAACAAACATAGCAGAACTTTTGTTCTGGCAGCTGCACGGGGTTTATTATGCCCCTCAGCACAGTGCAAACTGCTGACTAGATGCAACTTAAATCAAAAGTTAGTAACAGAATTATTTACAAGCACTTCACAAGTTGAGTTTCTCAGGAGGTTTAACGAGTCGTCCCGATCTGGTTTGGAGTGCGTTTTTGTGATTGGCGGGTTTGTCGCTGACTTGAGGTGTAGCAGCATTTTCTATGGTAGGCTCACTGGGACTGCTGTCTTCCATGGGAATGTCCTGCTCGACCGGTTCGTCCTGAGGGTGTTCGCTTGATTTGTGGAGGTGAACCCGATTTCTGCGATAAAGTCTTCCTTTGCTTTTCACTACATAAGATCTTGGTTTGTCCGTTTTCTCTGCGACAATTCCTGGGAATAAGGACTTTGAACCAGGCGTTTCCATTCTGACTGTTTTTCCATTGTTTAGGGGTGATAACTCCTTCACATTTCTTCTCCTGTCATAGTAAAATTTCTGCTTGACTTTCTGGACATTAAGGTGTTGCTGTACTTTTCTTAGGTCGTGTGTTGCTGGTTTAAAAAGATCTTGTGATGCTGGAAGCGTGTTCCTAGGTCTGCGTCCATTAACAGTTGAGCTGGTGACAGATTAATGTTTTCTAGTGGAGTTGTTCTGTAATCTAGCAGAGCAAGTTGCTTGTCGTCACATTTTGTCCATAGGTTCTTTATAGTTTGTACTGCTCTCTCAGCCTCGCCATTTGAGCTTTGAAAATGAGGGCTGCTTCTTTCGTGTTCAATTCCAAGCTCTGCGCAAAAGGTTTTGAAGGTAGCTGAGCTGAATTGTGGTCCATTGTCAGACCTGAGTTTTCCTGGAAGTCCATGGCATGCGAAAACTGTTTTCAAGGCTTCTATTATGGCTGTAGTTGTCTCTGATCTGAGTTCTACGGCATCAATGTATTTTGAGTAGTAGTCCACCAGAATCAGATATTTCTTGCCTCTGAATTCAAATACATCAGTTCCAACATGTGTGTATGGTAGATCTGGAGTTGGTGTTGGCATTAGAGGCTCTCTGTTTTGCTGTTTCTGATACTCCCCACAAGATGGACAGTTGCTTATGGCCTGTTCTATGCCAGCATTCATGGCTGGCCAATACATGACCTCTCTGGCGCGACTCTTTGACTTGACTATCCCAAGGTAAGACTTGTGTATAAGGTTAAGCATCTCTTTCCGCAAGCTGGGTGGGATGACTATTAGACTTCCCTTGTACACAATGCTGTCAAGAACGGATAACTGATCCCTCGAGTCGAAGTACTGTCTGACCTCAAAGGGAGATTCGTTCTTTGTGTCAGGCCATCCTGTTTGAATGGTGCTCATGAGAGTTTCAAGTTCACTTCTGGTTGATCTCTGGATTTCGGAGTATTTCTCGGGTGTTATGGATAACATACAGATCATGTCCGCTTTCTATGTGTCCTCTGCACCGCTTTCCTCTAGGTAGGCCCGTGATAGCGTGTCTGAAATGTACATCATAGTTCCGTTCCTGTATTTGACATTGATGTCGTACCACTGTAGTTTTATCATCATCTTTTGAATCCTCATAGGAGCTGACAGTAAGGGTTTGTTGAACAAAGTCTCTAACGGCTTATGACCACTGTACACTGTGACCTCCTTGCTAAAAATGTAGTTGTGAAATTTCTGACAACTGTACACTATAGCTTGCATTTCCTTCTCAATTTGTGCATACCGTTTCTCTGTTTCTGTAAGAACCATAAGCTACTGCACGGCCTTCCTGTATCAAGACTGCTCCAAGACCATCTTTACTTGAATCGCACTCGATCTCGACCGGTTTATTCACGTCAAATAGAGCTAATACTGGTGGCTCGGTACACACGCCCTTAAGTTTCTGGAAACTTTCATCCTGTTCATGATTCCATTGAAATTCCACATCAGACTTGAGAAGGATTCTTAGTGGAGCGTCCAAATCACTCAAGTTTGGAATGAATTTCGACAAGTACTGTATGAGTCCAAGGAACCTGCGGACACCTTCCTTGTCATGTGGAGCTGGCATGTTAAGTGTAGCCTTGATTTTGTCTGGGTCTGGTCTGAGTCCCTGGTCCGACACTATATGGCCCATGTATGGCACACTAGACTTACTAATTTTGCATTTTTCAAAGTTCAATTTCAGATTGTAGTCTGTTGCCCGTTCCACAACTTTTCTAAGTATGGCATCATGTTCTTCGAGTGTTTCACCTGCGATGAGGATGTCATCTATGATTGCAGACGCACCTTTGATTCCGGATATCATGTTGTCCATGATCTTCTGATAGATTTCTGGTGCTGATTTTATGCCGAAAAGTAGTCGGAGCCAACGATATCTTCCTATCGGTGTGTTAAATGTTGTCAGGTACGATGACTTCTCATCGAGCTGAATCTGCAAAAATCCAGATTTAGCATCCAATACTGAGAAAATCTTGGCTTTCGGTATGTCTGATATGACATCGTCAATAGTTTTCATAAGGTGATGCTCACGTTTTATGGCGCTATTTAAATCCCTTGGATCTATGCAGATGCGTATCTTTTCTCCCTTTACACTCACTACCATTGAGCTGACCCACTCTGTTGGCCTGTCCACTCTCGTGATGTATCCATTAGCTTCCATCTCTCTCAGCTTGTCAACTGCCCTGGGCTTTATTGCTGCTGGGAGTTTCCTTACGGGATGAATAACTGCAGGTACAGATTCATCTATACTGAGATGGTATTCTCCGGGTAGTGTTCCTGTAGTTTCTACGAGTTCTGGATAGTCTCTGGATAGTTCACTTTGTGCACTTTCTGTAGTCACAGCTGATATCGGAGTCTGCAGATGGGGGTCGGTTTTGTATATCAACCCAAGAGTAACTGCAGTATCACCACTAATGATATTCTCTTGATCCAAGTCGACCACTTCAAAGTGAACGTTAGTTTTATGATCACGGTAAACAACTGGAAGAGTTACTGATCCTATTGGTTTGATCTTATGGTTGCTGAATGACTTAAGAGTCTTGTTGGAACTCTCTAGTGTGCATCCTCCCAAGTTTCTAATTTGAGCAGATGTAAGTATATTAGTCCGTGCTCCTGTGTCTATCCTGCAGCGAATCTGCTGACCTTTGATACCAAGACGAACGTCCCAGTTGTCATCCTGACCGGCCTTGACGGAAGTACACATACTAATGGTAAGTAGTTCCTCTTCCTCTGACTTTGTATCTCGCTGTACCGTGCTGACTTTGATCTGTTTCAGCCGCCGCCGACACACTTTCTTCCAGTGGTTTCGTTGTTTACAGTAGCTGCATATGGTTCCTAGTGCTGGGCATTTTCCACGTTAATGTTCCAAACCGCAACTTGAGCAATTTGGGTTGTCACTTGGTTTATAGGCTTTGGGTTTTCCAGTTTTAACAGTTTTGTTGCGCGACACATTGAATTTGGTTGTGTGTTTCTTTTGTGAATGAGAGTCAATTTTCAACACTTCCTCTCCTCTCATTAATTTGACTTGTGCTTGTGACAGTTCAAACTGTTGTCCAATTTCTATAGCTTTCTTGAGTGTGATATCCTGACCTTGTTCTAACAGTCTCTCTTGCACTTTCTTATGCCTGACGCCACTAATGATTAAGTCAATCAAAACATCATTATTATCAGCGTAATCACAATCCATAGCTAAGATTTTGAGATCCTTAACAAAGTTATCAAAAGTTTCGGCCTCTTTTTGTGTTCTTTGGTGAAGTCTGAATCTTGTCATTCGCTTGTTTTTCTTGGGGCGAACATAATTTTCTAATTTCTCCAGAATTTTTTTTGGGTCGTCTTCATCGTCATTTTCAAACACAAAAGTCTTGTACACTTCCCTTCCTTCTTGTCCAATCCACATGCCGATCCATCCTGCCTTATGTTTTGCATCGGATTTCGCTAGTGGCCCTTTGAAGATGAAACCCACGTGGTGGTTGAACGGACAAAATTCCTGGTACAGATATATATATATATAGAATTAATAACACAAGTAACTACCAAATATACAAAGTTAACTTCCTTAAATTTGTTCTTAAGTTTATATATAGTGTATTAAAATAAACTGTAAAACATGCCATATTTGTCTTGAAGGATGTTTAAGAAAATGTTATTTGTTGAAACAAATGTGCAAACACTCTGCTCAGTTAGCCATTTTATGGAGAACTAACATGTACCTATCAACGTGCATTTTCAATCGTTGAGATGTAATGTTAGGAACACAGAAGGGGAATAGTACTTGTTAACAAATGTTTTTACCAATCAACTTTGATGATTTAATAAGAAAGTATGAATTCCATCATTAGCTACTTGGAAGTTGTCACACTCTTCATGAGTATAAAAATTATGAGATATACAATACATACTGTAAATATGTTATATTTAGCAGTGTATTCTATTTAGTGATTTTAGCGAAAAACAGAATCTGCTAATTCAAGTACATCACTAAATGTATATTAACTTCTTTAACTAGCACACTCAGATTGTGTTAAATCAAATCTACGCTAAATTCTTGAAAATTGAATTTCCGCCAAATACGAGGGGTGATAAAAAATTTCGCAAACTATCTCTATATCTACAAAACCACAATTCAGATTAGAATGAAATTCGGTACACACATAGTCATACACAATTTCTATAAATAGCATATGCTG